CTATAGAGGGCAGTGTCACTGGCCCTCATATGTGGGATCCGAACCGGGGCCCTCTGGCGTCCCAAGCCAGTTCTTAACCATGGCACCACTCGGCCGGCTCTAGGGTTTTTGTGTGTTTTTTTGACAAAATAACAACCCTGTGGTTCCTGTTTTGGATACATTTTACAGCTTTTCATTAGCAAGCGTTATTGATTCCCTTGTACACAGTAGAAATTCTGTATCTTTAATTCATTTGAATGCCAAGAGGATGTTTTATATTAATCTAGCCACATCGGGATTTGGCATGTCTTTCAGAAATGGCATGAAAGGTCTTCATTTATTCCCTGCTTTACAGGTCAGAGAGAGAGAAATGACAACTGTGTGTGTGGGAACAATTTCGGTGAAGCCCATTGGCAAAATAGCCAACAGACAGACTTGGGGGAATGTTCAGAGGTATGCTGCCCGTGCTGCTGCACTGTCTGGGGCAAGAGCAGTACTTGAGAAGGGGCAGCAAGGAAGCTCTTTCCAAACTATATTCTTTCCCCATAACTCTCATAACTTGGGGTTTTTCTTAATGAAAATGATGTTTTGTACTGTGGGTTGTTGATCTCTATATCTGTACTCTGAAGTAATTTACATCCAAATTGAATAATGATTCATTCTGTAATTCTGAAAATTTTTTGTGTGGCTAAAATTGTTACCAAATTTAAAAACTGAGAGCTTTGAGTTTACAATTTATTGTCAGATATCCACGTGCCAATTTGTAGGTTAGCTATGGGATATTCTGTGTCGTGGCTGGCTGGCTGACACTGCTGGTGTCATACAAAGAATATAGGCTTTGGAACTAGGTAAATCTGCATTTGAATCCTCTTCTAACACTTGTTGAACAAAATTTTTGAGTCAGTGTCCTCTTAACCTTTAATATGAAAATAATAGTCCTGTCTTCAAGTGTTTTTGTGATAAATAATGACAGTGGTATACAAACATTTAGCAGTGTACCTGGTACTTAATAAATAGTAGCTAGTACAATTCTTAATATTATTAATACATAGTTTGAATAGAAGTTGAAAATAAGTTTTTAATCTTCACTTCAGAAAAATGTAATTGGGCACATCTGATAGTCTTTATAAAGTAAGGTATTCTAAAATATTTTTTGCATGTTAGTACAGAGAATTGATAGTTTACTAATATGTTATTTATGTTTTTGAAATAGAACAACTAGGTCAAATGAGTGTTTCCAATCCCAAACTCTAAATAAAAATATTTACATCTGTGGTTTAGAGTAATCATTACAGAAGAAGCTTCATGGGGAAATGGGACTTTATTAAGGCTTGAAAGTTAGAAATAGACTTGAGAGTTAGAAGAGGAAGCCAGCATAAGCTAAAATACAGAGTTAAGAATATGCACAGCATACCTAGGGGGCCAGTGAGTAGACCAGGTTGGTCCTCCCAATTGAACAGTGCTTAGGGGAGAAGCAAGTTCTTCCAGTTTCATAAGGGAGACAAGACAGGTCTGCAAAAAAGGTCTCATTAAGAGATATGGAGAACCAAAGGCATTTGTATTAGTTGAATGGAGTGTTAGTTGATGATGGCTGTAGTCGGGAGCATTCTTATAAGATGTGAGACACAAGCTTCATTAGTATGTAGCAGAGTAAACTTTGTAAAATGTTTAAACTCTTATAATCAAATTAAATATCTGCTGTACATTTATTTCATTTTTCACTACAAAGGCTAAATTCCCCCCCCCCCCAACTTGCTTGTGGCCAGGTTCATTCAGTCTTTTTTTCTGTTTGCATATCTCCTTACCTCCATCCTTGAGGAAGAACAAAACACCAATAGGGAAAAACTAAATAAAATTAGCACCCATCTCCAAAAGGGGCCATATATATGCCAGCTCTGGACCTAAAGGTTCTGAGTTCATGGAATATTACTGTAGCCTTTAGGTCTTGAGATCTGGTTTGTGGTGTGAGTCTTAGGGCCTCAGGGAGGCAGGGAGGATGGTAACTGTCTTTGGGAACTATGGCAGCACTGGATATGATTGAGCAAAGGCTGGGGAGACTAATCACCTAGGGTGGCAGGCAGCCTGGCATGAAAAAAGAGTAGCTCTTGGCCATGTTAGCAATTACTTGAAAAGTACTGTGCCTTTGCTTTCAAGGACAGCCTGCTTTTTCAGCTTTCTAAAGAATACAGAAAGGGCAGCAGCCTCTGGGGGGGCCACTAGGCCCTTCTTTTGCTCAAGGAACTTGGGAAACTCAAACATCCCTTTAAACCTCTTTCACTCATGTCTTCTAGAGGGGTGAGGGCTCCCAAGTCCTTAAATCTCTGCCTGAATGTACTTGTATATACTATATAGATTTAAGTAGGATAAGAAGAAAGAGGTGAATGTGCTGCAGAGTGAGACCTAGTTGGGGGAGTGGGGGGATAGTTGTTGACTCTCCCTCCTGGATGCTGACAAAGTGCCTTCTAAGGGGACTTTAGAACAGAGGCGCCAGAGGCGGAGCGCCCCCTTGAATGAATGAACTCCAGGCCCTAGAACCTTAAATGCTGTAAGGATTCATTAAAGCCCATTGGGGAGGTGTGGTGACCCTTAAATTACATGTTTTGGTTTAGTGTACTAGGAGATCACCATCAGTTACCTGTCTTACCTCTTGTTGACTTACCACAACTCTGTTTGCCCCGGATTCTCTTTCTGTGTTGGGGGAAGATATGTATCTAGGAGCTACAGGAATTTTTTAATTTGGGTTTTATAGAATACAGGAAAAAAAAAAAACTTTGGTGAAACTTTGCTGATAAGTTTATCAAAGACAGGAAGTTGAGAAACTTCCTGTCATTCAGAATTGGCACCAATAGCAGTGATGTTTTTTAGGGGAACATTTATATGTATTCAGGTAAGTTTCAGAGATGAAAATTTAATACATTTGTTAACTAGAAAAAAAATTATTCCCATTAAAGTAGTGGGAATATTGAATATTAAACTTATTAAATAGATATTATCTGATAATCAACATAGTATCTCATCTAACTCTTATTTATCTTTATATTTCTGGCCCTCAGTATAGAGTCAGACCCATGGTATGCTCTTGGTAGGTGTTTGAATGAATTTGGCTATACTGTATTTAAAAGAAGCAGTCTCAGGCCCATGGCAGATGCAGCTAAGTGATGGAGGCAGTCTTTCCCACCAAGTTCTCATGATGATCTTTTAAAATAGCATTAGATACCTACTATCATTCCAATGGAATTGTTAGGGGAGATAAAACTGATTTGCCATCTTGTATCTAAGCATAAATTTGTACTACCTTAGAAATTAAATTTGTATTTATTGTTAATGATTGCAAATTGTTACCCTCCCAGGTTATTTAACTATTTTAAATAAAACAGCCTTGTGCACTCACTTCTAGCTTTTGTTATTTCTCCCAATGGAGGGCTCCTGCTAATCTATAGAAGTTATTTTCTTGGGTGTGGTAACTGTGCAGTTAAATCCTTTTGTGCTGACCTATAATTTATTGTCAAAGTTCATTGAGTATGCAAGTGATAAATATAATTTTTGTCCTTCACACTAGTCTACATTAAAAAGTCTGCTTTGCACACGAGATGAATTTGACAGTTTTACTTTCCTAGCAGTTTTGAAAATTTGTCCTTTGAGAAGCTTACTAAAATGGCTGTTTTTAATATGTTTTAAAATAGCCATTGACTATGTTTATTGTGACTCTACAATAAGAAACACATTGTGATCCAATATATGTGTATGTAATGGGGTAGGCCTATATTTTTAACTATATGATTTTTTTTAACATAGCTGACTATAATGAACTGTTGAAATATTTATGCTGTGGTTTCTTCTCAGTTGATTCACAGTACTTAGGTTTCACGTGAATATTTCTAGTTGTGAATTTGTAACAAAGCAATTGAAATTCCTTTTAAGGGCACAACTAGAGAATGAAAAGAAGAAAAGAGAAATAGCAGAAAAGGAAAAGGAAAGAATAGAACGTGAAAAGGAAGAGCTAATGGAACGTCTAAGGCAAATTGAAGAGCAGACATTGAAAGCCCAGAAAGGTAAAAGTTTCTTTTTGACATTGGATTCAAAATTGTTGCTCTGTTGTCAGACAGTAGTGTTTCCTTACTACTATTAAATCTTATTTGTCATATAATTTAATTAACCAAATTAAACTTAGTTGAATCACATCATAAACATGTTTAAGGCACATTCAGCTATACAATGCTCATGTGTTCTTTCTATTTCATTTACTTACATATTTTCATGTGTACTCTTACATATTTTAAGGGATTAAATATATTAATTTCTTCCTCTTGTTCAGGGTTTTGTAAGCAAAAATACATTTTTAATACTTCTTTGTATTGAAAATGCATTAAACAAAAGCATTTATGCAGTGCTTTATGGATAGTTAAGTACTTCAAAGCATCTAACTAATTTAAGGCATTTTAAACTATTCTGACTATATAAACTGTTTTGGAACTCAATCTCTAAATTTGACTTCAGCATGTAAAAAAATACATAACACCTAAAAGTGTTGTGAAGAACCTAACTCTTAGGCAATATGTAACCAAACTGTTACAGTGTATAGAAAGGATACATTGGATTTAGAGAGAGTGTTTTATATTGAATAACTCTAGGATATACTACTTTCAAACAACAAATAGTGAGAGAACAAAAGGAAAAAGGTATTGAGCAAAATAAGATGTTTTCCTCTTTCCTAAGCAGTAGGATCTTGGGGCTAACATGAAGTCTACACTACTTTAAAATTAGAACTAGTAACTGTTTTCCTGACAAATACTAGAACCAACCATTAGTTCTGTTGGAAATAGGATAAGGTTGTTATTCTGTTTAAGGTGGTTTTTTTTTTTTTTGGTCTTTGTTTTTTTATTTTTTTTTTTAACAAATGCCAAGGTTTATTTTTATTCCTTACACCAGCCTGCTCTTGTGGGGAGATGCTCTTGAGCAGTGGGTAGAATAATTTGCAAGTGAGTAAGTAGCTAGAGGACGAAGTCACAAAGATTGCTATAAATCCAAAAATGGGTTGATCATTCCAATTCCAAGAGGATTAGAAATGATATTCCTAAGGGAAGAAATAGAGAAAAACCTGTTTTATTTTGTCGGACTCATTGGAAGCCTCACTTTTCAGAGCTAGAAAAGACCTAGAAACTATTTAGTGTAAAGTGCAGAAGTAGCAGAGACTTGTTCACAGGCTACAACGTAAAAGCAGAACTTGTTTCCTGACTTCCAGCTTGATGCTGTTTCTACCACTCTAGTGGCCATTCACTAATTAAAACAGACATTCATGAAGTGCCTATTTTGTGCTGCATTTTAGAAATACAAATACATAGGCTTGCATGAGAGTGAAGTCTATATGGTTGGCAGAAGTCAGATATATACATAAAAATAATAAAGTGAAGTAATGAGTACTAAGTGCCATGTGAATAGTATAAGCAATACTTTTAGTGCAGGAATGCTGAAAACAAAATGACAACCCTGAGATGTACTAAAATGTGTTTAAAACAAAAGTTTAAAAAATTTATGATCGTGGTCTGATTTTAAAGAAAAGATTGAATGATAGCACTTTTTCATTTACATATAATACCTTTTCTGAGAGAATAGCTACTTACTAAGCTTTTCAATCTCATTTATTTAGGATGTATAATAAAAACATTAGTGATTTACACACAGAAAACTACTCAAGTAAAGAAGAGCTAAAGAATACAAGGAAGATAGCTCATAAGAAAGAATATAGAGCATCCCTATCAAGACAATTTCAAATCAGTCAGCTTAAGGCAAAGGACATCTAATATGTTTTTCGTTTTTTTCCCCCCTATTAATAAAGCTTTCCCTGGCTGTCCTAAAATCTGCATGATTGTCATGTAATTTATGCTAAATTCTCATTCAAATACAGTAACTCTGGCTATATCTAAGTCATGATAGTTAGTAGATAAACTTGTATTTTTTTATTTGAGAAGAAACTTTTCTATACTTATTGTCATTTTATTTCTAAAAAATAAATTATTGAAGTAATTATTTGAAATGTCACAAATCATTAAATAGAACCATTCTACCATTTTACATTTCTCTAATTCATCATTGTTAAATTATTTATAATTTTTGAACCACAATAAGATCTATTGATGACTGTATTTGAAATATAATATAGCCAGACTTGCATTCAGTTACTGTTACAAGTAACCAAGGGAATTCCCACCTTCAAAAAGACAAACCACAAGAAAGAGTTGGGGTATAGTGTTTTCATTCTGGATACTTATCAAGTACCTAGTGTGTACTAGACACTGTTCTTAATAAAAATCATGTTATGTAGTTTTTGTTTGTTTGTTTTTTAAGCTGAGCCATCCTGCTACCTGTTGGCAGCTCAGCAGCTGCTCAGCTCAGGCTGGGAAACAAACCACTGTTGCTCAGAGCTCAAACTCTTAAGCGAGCTGTTAACCAACTGAGCCACTCAGCCGGCCCTATGTTATGTAGTTTTGAGTGCAGTGAGGGAAGTATGTTGAGTAGGAGGGGGTTGTCCATTTTAGGTATACATTGTTTACAAATAGGAGCCAAGCTTTAAATTTAATTCTGTCATTAGCTTAGAATATGACCATCAGCAAGTCATTTTAACTTCTCAGTTTCCTTCTGTTCCTAATTGCTAAAATAATAATCCCTAACTTAGTTTTCTGAGATTTTTTCAGATTTATACTTAGTTAGGTAAAATTTTTTTTTTTCATTGAAGTATAGCATAGATGTAGTCAAATGTGCATACCTTTTAGGTATAAGGCTTTGTGAATTTTTACAGAGCAAATTTATTTCTTTGGCTACCCAAAACAAGAGACAGAATATTACCTGTACTCAGGGAGCCTCCCTGTATCCTTTCCCAGTCATTTCCCCCCCTCAAAATGTGTCTTATATTATTCTGATTTATATCATCGTAGAGTTTAGTCTTACCTATTTTTTAATAGCTTTGTTGAGATATAATTCACGCATCACACAATTAACCATTTATTTAAAGTGTTCAATTTAATGGCTTTTAGTATATTCTTAGAATTGGGTAACCAGCACAATTTTAGAACAGCCATCACCCCAAAAAGAAATCCCATACCCTTTAGTAGTCACTCCCCATTTCTTCCCAATCCTCTCTCCCTGCAGCCCCAGGCCACTACTAATCTACTTTCTATCTCTATAGACTCACTTGTTCTGGACATTTCATATTAATGGAGTCATGCAAAATGTGGTCTTCTGTGATTGTCTTTCACTGAACTGAGCATGTTTTCAGGGTTCATCCATGTTGTATGATAGCACATATCAAGCACATCATTCTTTTTTGTTGCTGATAATATTCTATGGCTATACTACATTTTACCTATTCATCAGTGTTTGATGACATTTGGGTGGTTTCTACTGTTTGGTATTGTGAATATGCTGATATGTGTACTAGTTATTGTGTATTCATTCGTGTGTCCATTTCTTTTGGGTATAAATCTGGGAGTGGTATTGCTGGGTTACATGGTAACTCTAGGTTTAACTTTTAGAGGAACTGCCAAACTGGTTTCTAAAGCCACTGTACCATTTTACGTTCCCACCACGCCAGCAATGTATGATTTCTCCACATCCTCGCCACACCCCCACAAACACTTGTTAATGTTTGTGTTTTGGATTATAGTTATCCTAATGGGTGTGAAGTGGTTTTGATTTGTATATTCTTAATGGCTAATGATATTCAACGTCTTTCCATATGCTTATTGGCCATGTATATATCTTCTTTGGAAAAACGTATTTTCAAACTTCCTGCCCATTTTTCAATTGCATTATTTGTCTTTTTGATGTTGAGGTGTAAGAGTGTTTTATTTATCTGGATACAAGTTCCTTATCAGATATCAGATATATGATTTAAAAATACTTTATCCCATTCCATGGGTTGTCTTTTCACTATGTTGATGCTGTTCTTTGAAACCCATTACTTTTAAATTTGGATGGAGTCCAATTTATTTTTTTCTTTTGTTGCTTGTGCTTTTGGTGTCATGCCTAAGATTAGTCTTGCCTGTTTTTGACTACACATAAATGACTTCGTGCACTCTTACATTTGGCTTTTTTTTCTTCAAACTTACGCATATAGCTGTAGTTTGTTCTTTTACATTGTTTCATAAGATTCTATTGCACGTGTATAACATTTATCCATTCTAACTGGTGATGGACAGTTGGGATATTTTCATTTGGGGCTAATAAGGATGTCATGAGCATTCTTGGAACATAGCACATGTTTTAATTTTGGGGAAGTATACCCTAGGAATGGGATTGCTAGATAAAGGCTATACCCAGCTGTAGTAGATAGTGCCTTCATTTCCCCAAAGTGCTTGTATCAGTTTTCATCCCTACCAATAGTGAAAATTCGTTTGCTCTACATCTTCACCATTACTCCCATCCCTTTGTTATTGTCGGAGTTTCTCTTTTGTTTTGTTAGTTTAGTCATTCTAGTGAATACAGTACATTGATGGCTGATGATTTTGAGCACCTTTGCAAGTACTTGTAACCATCTGTAAAGTGCCCTTTTACATCTTTTGTTCACTTAAAAATACTGGATTTTCTTCTTTTTCTGATTGATCAGTAGGGGTTCTTCAATACGTAAAAAATTTTCTCTCCATGGTTTTTTTTTAACTCTCTTAATGGTGTCTGTTACTAAAGAGAAGTTCTTAATTTTAAGTTCCATTTATCACTCTCTTCCTTATGGTTGTGGAATGTTATTCTCTACTACCTTCTAGAAACTTTGTTTTACCTTTCACATTCAGATCTACAGTCTATATGTAACACTTTTGTAAGGGTCAAGGTTTTTTGTGTTTTTTTTTCATATATATTTCCAGTTGACCCAGACTCATTTATTGCAAAGATTGTTCTTTCCCCATTGTACTACAGCATCACCTTTGTCACAAATCTAAAAGACTGTATATGTATGGATCTGTTTCTAGACTCTGTTCTGTTCCATTTACCTAATTACCCTATTGCCAATGCCACACTGTTCAGTTACCAGTTGTATCTAGCAAGATTTGTAACTGATAGGTGTACTACAAAATACATGGAATCAGCACACAGTAGGAAGCATGTTTCAAAGACAAAACAACTCTTGGGCTTACACGTTCCTTAGATTTTACATTACTTTTTATGGCACTAATTACTGTTGCACACTGCTTGCTTTTATAAATTATAAACCTGAAGTTGAAAACAAGGAAAATAATTACTTGAAAAAAGTATAATAGGAAGCCCTTTAGTTTATAACAGGGCAAACTAAATCTCCAGAAGAGTTTAATGTCTGCCAAGACTGGACTCCTTGGTTTGAGTCAACAGTCGGATGTTCTGCATGTTTTACAGCACGTGCCCTCTCTCTTCTCCTGTGGTATTGCTAGGTGCTGCACCTCCTGGATCATTCCTGGGTTAGTAGTCTTCTGTGTGTGTTTGCTGTATAAACTCGACTTCTCCTTTTCTCACGTCTTCCGTAGCTTCCCTCTCTAGTTATTCATAATTCTTTTCTGAATAGAGAGCTTCTGAAGAAGTTCTGGAGCTGGAAACTCCAAGACAGGGAGATCATTTGTTGGGATGCCTTTGCCACACATTTCTGTGGGCTGAAGATGTCATAACTGTTTCTGAAATGCAGCTTTTCTGTTGGATCCCCCTACTGTCCAAGTTTGGCCTTTGCAGATATTCTTTCTTGAACCTTTCGTTTTCAGCCACAGGAGTAGTTTGCCATGCTCTCAACTTTTGCAGGTTTGCTGATTATTTGGTGGTTATATAGGTTTTATCTTTGGGGGGGAGGGGCTTTTTTTTTTTCAATGCATGATTCTTGTGGCTCATTGTTTTGTTAAAATTAATGGTGTATCTGGGTCTCTAAGATCTCTGGATGTTTCTCTGTGGAGGGGCTTTGGATTGTGGACCTAAGTGTAAAAGGTAAAATGAAGTTTCTAGAAGATAGCAAAAGAGAATAAGTTAATAACCATTGGGTAAAGACTGATAATTTGAACTCTTATAATTATAAAGGGGACTGTGGCCCTTGGCATCTTTGAAGAGGATTTGTATGATGGCTAAAGATCAGTTTCTACACTGATTGTCAGTGTTCTTCTGGACTTTGATTCTGTCCTCATGCTTTGCTTTTTTCCTAGCTCCCCTGGATAAGCAGTCATCATAGTTACTTTAATGACCTTGTTTGCCAACTCCAGTATAATCCATTATACTGGATAATCTCTGGGCCTATTCTGTAGTCTGTTTTTCTTTTTTGGGGGGATGGATTTGGAGGGGGTCATTTGGTCTTATCTCCTCATATGCCTGGTAATTTTGGCTGAATGCCCAGCATTGTGTATGAAAAGTTACAGAGGCTTTGAATAATGTTATTTTCCTTTAGAGAGGCTTTAATTTTCTTTTGACAGGCAGAATATGTGCAGATCACCTTGGTGGAGTTGAACTGGGTCTCAGGCTTTGTTAAGGTCGGTCTCTTTCTGGTTTTCCCTCGCCGCTAGATTATAGCCCTTTGGGGGTGTCATCTGAACGACTGGATTTACGAGGGCCTTCTATCTTAGAGGTCCCTGAACTCCAACCTTTGACTCTCCACGTGCAAAAGAGTGTCGACCTCTCTGCTCAGCTCCTTACCCTCTTACAGCTGTTTCATGCTTGATTACTAACCCCATGTGTGTGCATTTTAGGAGTTGTACATATTGAGGGGAAATAGCATGCAGATTTTAGGGCTAACTTCTCTATTCACTCCTTTTCAGCATCGTGGCCTCTCAAGCCTTGGATGCCTTGGCATCCTCCGCCACACACAAAACAAATACACAACACAGGAAGAAATATTCTTGTTTCCTTTCTTACACAAAAGGCAGTATATTACATATATCCTTTTGCACATTGCTGTTTTCAATTAATATAATCTTGAAAGTCATTACATATGTAATCATAGAGCCCTTCCTTACTTTTTTTATGGTGACATAATACTCCATTGCTTAGATGTAGTACAAATATTTTTAAATTGCTTTTTCAATGAGTAATTTGTAATCACATTCTTAATTCTGTGATTTCTAAGAATTTTGATTATGGAACTTTTATTTGCATTTTTACAATAGTATTAGTTCTTTTCCCTGGGTAAAAAAATGTGGTACTTAAATTATTCCCCTAGACTAGAAGAAGGAAGAAAAATCTATAATCCTTTTGGGATATTTTATTTTAATAATTTTTTTACTGTTACTATTGCAATTGTATAGCTTCCGAAGTTTGCCCTCAGGGTAACATAAGATATCATTTGGTTTGCAAAATCTTAGACCTCTCAAAATCAAATAATGCTTGTGTTTAAGCCTGATAAAGAGAAGCTTTCACAAATTTTATTAGATTGAACTTAGGATAACTTCCCTTGTCTACTCCCAATTAAATGTCATAACCATCTACATCGATATAATGCTGTTAATGAGAGAAGCAATTTATTCTTGCGACTTCGTCCTTAAAGGACTGATAATTCTAAAAGAAGCCAGATTCCTTTTCCCATGTTCTGTGCCAGACTTCAAAAATCGTAAGTTTTAGATTTTTGTGAACCAGATAGATAAAACATTGATATTATTCAGTTTTCTCTTTGACTCTTCCTCTGCATGGGTTCTAACTGGATCCAAGATCTGGAGGGATATTTGTTTCACAGAAATATTCTAATTCATATATTTACAAACTTTTTGTAAAGGGCCAGATAGTAAATTTTTTAGGCTTTGTAGGCCACACAGTTTCTGTTGCAGCTATCAGCTCTGCCATTGCAGCATGAAAGCAGTCATGCACAATACCTAAATGAATAAGAATATTGTGTAGCCTCATTGAATGAGGTTATGTGTTACAATGAATTTTTATGTACAAAAATAGGTCATTGGGTTGGATTTGGTCAGTGGGCCATAGTTTGCCAGACTTTGTTCTAACTCAATTAACTGGAGAGGAAAGGATCAAGAGAAGTCATTTATGGAATATATGGCTATTCAAAACCTTCCTTTCTAGAAGAGACTAGAGTTAGATTTGAAGTATTTAGTTCATTTTCAGCATTTAAAACAAATTTAGGCTTTTGTATAATCCTTAATATATCACAAAACAACTATTGCCTTTTCTATGATTTTTTAAATGGATATTACAGAAAAACTGATAGAAAATAATGTTGGATAATATTTATTTTAAAATTTAACCTTCTAACCCAAACTTATTTTTATTTTTTGTCTCATAGTACAGAAAGTGTTTTTATTTTGAGAGAATATAAAGCATTGTTTTTATTTGCAAACTTTGGTTGTTTGCTTGTTTAGATGAATGAGTGATAAAGCCATGAGCTTTGTGAAGTTTATTTTATACACCAGTCAACCAGATGGAAAGAATGATCATAAGAGAAGTTTAATAGGTTAGCTTGATGTCCAAGTTTTAGAAAGCAAATTCTAAAATGAATAATTTTAGAATTTAGCTGTGGTAACATCCAACATTATATATATTTCATCTTTATAGCCACATAGAATTTTTACATTATTCTGTCAAGAATTTAAAGCCTAACCAGAGTCATTTTTTTCCCCCAACCGTCTCAAAACCTTGCTAGTCTTAACTGCAGTTACTTAAGTTAGTTCTGACCAAGACCAACAAAATAAAGAGAATTGTGTACATTACAGTACAAACCTCATAACATACAGGTTTTCAATTTTTCTTTTCTAACGTATACAGAATGGAGAGTCATTCATTCTTTATAGGATATGGCACCCTAGTAGGTGGCAGTCTGTTGTTTTCTGTCAAAGAATGTCCTTGTTATTAAACAAGAATTGTCAGAATAATATTTAAAATTAGTACTATTTAACTCATTAAAAATTTTGGCTTTGTGCTAGTAATATTTTCATTCAACTCTTTGGAATAAGAAAAGAGAAAATTAACTTTATGATCTGTACACTTAATGGTTAAAATTCATGTCATTCATCTCCAAATATTATTGGTCTCCATGCTTGAGGAATGAATATGTACCAATAACTCAAAATTTTCAATAATTCATAAAATTCACATCAAAATTCCTGTTTTGAATCAGTAAGTATTGTTTTCAATCTTAATGTCTTGGATTTACTTATCTAATGATGAGTAAAAATTTAGGTAAGTTTCATAGTGTTATAGATTTTTAAAACATGACAAATTGTTTATGTCAAAGCTTTGACATTTTTTTTTTTTTTGGTTGAGTCATCCAGCCACCTGTTGGCAGCTCAGCTTGGGCCAGGAATCAAACCGGCGACCCTGTTGCTCAGAGCTCGCTCATTAACCAACTGAGCCACTCTGCCGGCCCTTATGTCAAAGCTTTGTAGAGATTATTGTTTTTAAAAGGATGTGCTTCTAATTTTATGGCATAACTTGAATTACAAAGGATTTTCTTTTTTTTAATTGTGAAATAGATTTTTAAAAAATTATTAGGCTTTCTCCAAGTTAAAAACGAGGTATATATTTGTTTGAAGATGTGCTAAGTTTTAGAAACTGTACAGATTAGATTCCTTGCAACTATTTTGGCTTCTTATGATAATGAGAATAATTGGAATTAATCATTGTTTGGGGGGGGTGACATACATGTATTTGACAGAACTCGAAGAACAGACTCGAAAAGCTCTAGAACTGGACCAGGAACGAAAACGAGCAAAAGAAGAAGCAGAAAGGCTTGAAAAGGAGCGTCAAGCTGCTGAAGAGGCCAGGGCAGCTATAGCGAAACAAGCTGCTGACCAGTTGAAGACTCAGGAACAGCTAGTAAGGCACCTTAGTTCTAAGAGAAAAAGAAAAATGTAGACAAAACCATGAAGTGAACCTTGTAAAACGAAATATATTATACCTCTGGAAAGCAAACCAGAGATACAAGTCACTAAATAACAAAGTGTGGGGCCGGCTGAGTGGTGCATTGGTTAAGAGTTGTCTTGGGACGCCAGCTCTTGAGCAGTAGGGCCCCGGTTCAGATCCCACATGGGCCAGCGATGCTGCGCCCTCTACAGCTAAGATGGTGAACAACAGCTCGACCTGGAGCTGGGCTGCCCTGAGTCGCCGGCGACGGTGTAGGCTGCAGCCCCTGCTGCAGTGGGCTGCCGGAGCTACCATGAGTGGATGGCAGCCAGCATGAGTGGCCAGGAGCCTCCATGAGCGACTGCCTCATCCGGGAAGAGTGTAGTGATAGTGCCAACATGGGCCAGTGGGGCGACGTCCTCCACAGCTAAACTGAGGAACAGAAGGACAGTAACTTATCTGTTCCCCTTCCTGGAGCCACAGCGCTGTTCCTCTCCCCCAATTCCCCAAAGGAGTCTTTAAAGGGGAAAAGAGGGAAAAAAATAACAAAGTGTGGAAATACACCTAAAAATGTTATTCGGTTGTCAGAAAAGTCATGATATATTTTTTCTGTTTTTCGTTGCAAAAATGCATCATGAATTTTCCGACAACCCAATATTTCTGCCTTAAAACAACAACAACAAAAAAAACACCTAAAAATGAAACAGAGTAAAAGATAAATGGAGCCTGTTGCTAACAAAAGATTCTGATTTACTTAAACTTTGCATAAGCCACTGGCATGTTTTGCTTTAAATAAACAGAGAATATATTCTAATTCTTATAAGAAAACTGTAGGCCATAATTGATTGGGTTTTTTGTTTGCTCAGTGGACTTGTAAATAATGAGTATGCATGTCACTTCGGAGATCCTGAATTTGAATATTGGTTCAGGCATTTTCTTGCTGTGTATGTGTGTCTTTGGGTCTTTCTGAGCCTTAGATCCCTCTCTTTGAAAAAAGAATACCACCTAACAGGATTATTGGAAATCAAATGAGATTGTTTGAAAAGTGCTCTATAACTATAAAGCATTATATAAATACAATTTTTTTCTTTTGTAGGCTTTAGCAAATACTTGACTGATAAAAGTTAAAAAATAGCTCCTATGTCGCACATTTTAAAGTTTCTGCTACTGAAACGTGAATAACTTCTTGTCTATAGAATAATTCTTTCACTTTTTCTCCTTATTAGCTCATTATTAGTTCATTAGACCTGTGAATAAGATATTTATGATCTTTAAAGAAATATTACTTTTTATTAAAAATGGAAGCGTATCTCAGAAAAGCATAAAACAAACCAAGTATGTACATTAAAGCTTTGGTGACTTAATATAAATTATTGAAAATACATTGATTTTTAGTATAGATAATTATATTGTTTATTTAGGCAGCAGAACTTGCTGAATTCACTGCCAAGATTGCACTTCTAGAAGAAGCCAAGAAGAAAAAGGAGGAGGAAGCTGCTGAGTGGCAACATAAAGTAATCCTTTATTCATTTGCTATCATTTATTGAACACCTGTTTTGTACCCAGCATTGTGCTGAATTTATAAAGCTGCATATAGGATACTGTTACAATTTAGAAGGGAAAGATACCAGTGTATATGAATGTGTGTATATTGAGGTAAGTAAGCTAAGTATTTTGTGAAAACAGGCAAGGTGATTAGCTTCCGTGGAAATGAGGCAGGTGTTGGGAAAACCTTTACAAGTTTAGCTGGGTCTTGAATAATAAATTCAATTTGGGGATAGAGAAAATTGGAGTTGTTAGAGACTAAAGAGGAAGTCATTCCAGACCGAGGGAACTGCGTGAACATAGGAAGCATGAAAGTACATGGCCAATTTGAGGGCAGCCTGTGAGTGAGCAAAGCTTAGCGTATTGGTTTAGAAATTTTGGGAGATGCGTCTGGAAAGTTAGAGAGGAAATTAAGTTGCGAAAGGCTTTAAATAAATGCCCTGCTAAGGCAAGATGATGAGTATTTATAGACACTGGGCTCTGAAGATTTCAAAACAGGATTGTAATATGATCAGGTATGGTTTTATAAAAATAGCAATCAGTGTGAAGGATGGATTGGGATAGAGGGTAGGATTACTTAAGAGCTAAAGACCCAAACTGAGGATATGGCAGTGAGAATGAAGAGGAACAGGAATTTTGTGGCAGACTCAAAAGGGTATGGCAGCCAGATGATTGGATATAAGGTTGAATTAGAGGGATGCAATGAAGATGATAACTGAGATTTCTAATATGTTTTCCTAAGTAGGTGAAACCACTGTTGTCGGGGATAGCAAGCACACAAGTGAAAAATCAGGCTTTAGTTGGAGGGGTGGGGAATATAGGATAATGAGAGTTTAATTCAGCTTTAAATAACATGAATTCTTAAATGCGACTATAATAACTTTTTATATACACCAAAAGGTGTATAGTTATATGACTTTTCTACAATAAAATGTAAATATATTGTTCTTTCACTTCATAAAAGAAATAAAACTGTCAATCTACCTGTTACACTATTTTGTTAGAATTTTATAGACACATAAACTTTTAAAAGTAATATATCACAGGGTTAAATCCTGTGAATTGTAGAGATTAGAAAATTCACACAAAGAATCACATTCCCACAAACTAGGATCACTGCTTTAACACCTTAGTGCATGTCCTATCAGGATCTTTTCCTGTTTGCATATATGTGTCATACACATAAATATATTCCATACTGTACATACTATTTCACTTTAGTCAGTTTTCATCTCATCTAACATTAGACTGTATTCAAAAAATTTTTTAAATTTGATTATATTTGATATATAATGTATTAGTTTCAGGTGTACAACATAATAATTCCGTGTTTGTATCTGTTGCAAAATGATCACTATAATAAGTCACCATACATAGCCACAAATTTTTTTCCTTGTGATGAAGACTTTCAAGATTTATTCTCTTAGCAACTTTCAAATATACAATACAGTATTATTAACTGTAGTCAGGATGTACATTACATCCCTGTAACGTGACTTATAGCTGGGAGTTTGTACTTACTAACCTGTTTTTTAAATCTTAGTCACCCCTGCCTCTGGTAACCACCAGTCTATTCTCTGTATCCATAAGCTCAGTTTTTTTGTTTGTTTTTACATTCCACATATATGTGATATCATGATATTTGTCTTTCTCTGTTTGGCTTATTTCACTAAGCATAATGCCCTCAGGGTTCATCCATGTTGTCACAAAAGGCAAGATTTCCTTTTTTAAGGCAAGATTTCCTTTTTTATGGCTGTGAATAATATGTGTGTGTGTGTGTGTGTGTGTGTGTGTGTGTGTGTGTGTGTGTGTGTGTGAATCTACACACACACAGTACATTTTCTTTATCCATTCATTCATCAGTGGACATTTAGGTTGATTTCATATCTTGGCTATTATAAATAATGCTACTGCGCACATGGGATGCATATATGTTTTCAAGTTAGTGTTTTGTGTCCTTCAGATAAAATACCCAGAAGTAGAATTGCTGGGTCATATGGTAGTTCTATTTTTAATTTTTTGAGGAATCTTTGTACTGTTTTTCATAGTGGCTGTACAAATTTACACACCCGCCAACAGTGCAGGAGGGTTCTGTCTTCCCCACATCCTCACCAACACTTGTTATTTGTTATTTTTTTAATAATAGCCATTCTGGCAGGTGTGAGGTGATGTCTCATTGTGGTTATGATTTCATTTCCCTAATGGTCAGATGTTGGGCACCTTTTCATGTACCTGCTGGCCATTTATATATCTTCTTTGGGAAAATGTCTATTAGGTCCTCTGCCCATTTTTAATTGGGTTGTTTGGGGGTTTTTTTGTTTTGTTTTGTTTGTTTGTTTTACTATAGAATTGAATGAGTTTTTTATACTATTAACCCCTTATCAGATATATGATTAACAAATATTTTCTCCCATTCAGCAGGTTGCCTTTTCATTTTATTGGTGATTTCCTCTGCTGTGCAGAAGTTTTTTAGTTTGATGTAGTCGCACTTGTTTATTATTTTTGCTTTTGTTGTCTTTGCTTTTGGTGTCAAATCCAAAAAAATCATCGCCAAGACCAATGTCAGTGAGCTTACTGCCTATGATTTCTTCTAGGGGTTTTGTGTATGGTATAACATAGTGGTCCAGTTTTTTTCTTTTGCATGTGGCTGTCCAGTTTTTGCAACACCATTTATTGAAGGACTATTTTATCTCCATTGTGTATTCTTGGCATCTTTGTTATATACATTAATTGAACATACATGTGTGGGTTTATTTCTGGGCAAGCTGTATTCAAAATTGACCCAAAAAGTCTTTTACAGATCATTTGCCAGGCCTGTGTCCAAAGTAGTACTTTGCATTGTATCTGTTTGTTTATTTTAAGGTAGGACAGTTCTTCTTTTTATGATATTGATTTATTGAAAGAACTTGCAGCTTTTGCCTCCTCCTGTATTTGTCTAGTTGCTTTTTTATGATTTTATTCACCTTGTTTTTTTTTTATCATCAATATTTCCTCTAAAGTGGAAATTAGACATGAAAGCTTGAAGGATTCAAGTTAGAAGTTTTTGGCTATAACACCTCATAGGTGAGACTGCCATATAATTTATCATTTAAATTAGAATATTTTTGAAAATGAAAGGGGGTGTTATTAATAATTACACCAGGACAAGAGTGTAAAGCAGAACTTTTCCAGGCAAACCAGCACAGTGTGATCACCCAAATAATTGGGGATGTTGCATTAACTTACTGTTGTATCACATCAGAAGGTATTTAATATCTAACTAACTCTGACCATTAGTGACTTTAATTGACTGTTGGATTAGAGTAATTATAGTCTTAATTCCTTCATTGTCTGGTTACATTTTCCCCCTTGTGACTAAAATAATCTATTAGGTGTGACGTTCTTTGGCATTATACTAATATCTATTTCTCATCAACCACTCGCAGAACAGTTGTAGCAGCAATAGATAAACATTTTGAGAATTAATCATTTTATTAGGGTTTCCAAAGTAACGTTTAATTCTGTAACTTCTGTCTGCTGGCATTCTTCTATAAAAACAGCTTTCATCAGTCGGACTTATTTTCATTGCTCTGGAATATAGTTTTTATTAGGAAGGAAGGATAACTTGATTCTTTTAATTACCAGTTTTTGAAGTAAGTTGCTGATAAACTTATTTTTAATGTTCAGGCTTTTGCAGCCCAGGAAGATTTGGAAAAGACCAAAGAAGAGTTAAAAACTGTGATGTCTTCCCCCCCTCCACTTCCACCACCACCAGTAATTCCTCCAACAGAAAATGAACACGATGAACATGATGAGAATAATGCTGAGGCTAGTGCTGAATTATCAAATGACGGGGTAATGAACCACAGAAGTGAGGAGGAACGTGTAACAGAAACACAGAAAAATGAGCGTGTTAAGAAGCAACTCCAGGTATTTAAAACTTGCAGTTATATGCATATTTAAAATATAGCTTGCATTTTCCCCATTTATCAAGACAGACTTATTAAAAAGGAACATTTGATTTTTGAAAGCTTTAACACTAGCTGGCCTTGTGATTGGTTTGTGAGCGCTTGGCCTACAGGCACATCATTTCATTTCTTCCGTTGTATGTCCCCATTAAAAAATGTTTGGTAGACTTTTGTAATCAGGCCTTAACCAGTAAGTTATTCTTTCATGATAGCTGGATTCATGGTAAAAGATTGAAAGTATTTTATTGGAAAGGAAGAAGTAAAACTGTCATTATTTGCAGATGACATGATACTGTATAGAGAGAACCCTAAGGATTCCACCAAAAAAAACCATTAGAACTGATAAATGAATTTAGTAAAGTAGCAGGATACAAAATTAATATTCAGAGATCAGATGCATTTTTATACACCAATAATGAACTGTCAGAAAGAGTAATTAGGGGATGACCGGTTAGCTCAGTTGCTTAGAGTGTGGTGCTGATAACACCAAGATTTCCGGTTCGATCCCTGCATGCGCCACTGTGAGCTGCGCCCTCCTTAAAAAAAAAGAGTCAACTATGCCATTGTAGCATGAAAGCAATGTGTAACTAGTGACCATGGCTATTCCCCAATAAAATTAAAAAAGAGAGAGAGAGAAATTAAGAAACCAATCCCATTACAATTGCATAAAAAAATAAAATACTTAGGAATAAATTTAACCAAGGAAGTATAAGACCTGTACTCAGAAAATTATAAGATATTGAAGAAAAATTAAAGAAGATACAAATAGATGGAAGCATAGACCATGCTTATGGATAGAAAGAATTAGTATTGTTAAAATGTCCATACTAAAAGCAATGTATAGATTCAATGCAATTCCTATCAAAATACCATTGACATTTTTCACAGAAATAGAACAAATCCTAAGATTTATATCAAACCATCAAAGACCCCAAATAGCTATGGCAATCCTGAGAAAGAACAAAGCTGGAGGTATCACACTACCTGATACCAAACTATACTACAAGGCCATAGTAATCAAAACAGGATGGCACTGGCATAAAAACACACATAGATCAATGAAACAGAATAGAGAGCCCAGAAATAAATCTATTCCTATATTTAATCTATGAGAAAGGAAGCAAGAATATACACTCGGGTATAGACAGTCTATTCAATAAATGGTGCTGGGAAAACTGGACAGATACATATAAAAACAATGAAACTGGACCACCTTCTTACACAGCATACAAGAATAAATTCAAAATGGATTAAAGACTGAAATGTAATACCAGAAACCATTAAACTCCTAGAAAAATACACAGGCAGTAAACTCACACATTACTCTTAATAATATTTTTACTGATCTATCTCCTTGGGCAAGGGAAACAAAAGAAAAAATAAACAAATGGAACTACATCAAACTGAAAAATTTTTACACAGCAAAGGAAACCATCAACAAAATGAAAAGATATTCTGAATGGGAGAAGATATTCGCCAGTAATACATCTGATGAGGGGTTAATACTCAAAATTTACAAAAACTTATATAACTCAACACCCAAAAAACCCCCAAATAATCCAATTAACAAGTGGACAGAGGACCTGAATAGACATTTCTCCAACGAGGGCATATACAGATGGCCAATAGACATATGAAAAGATGCTCAATGTCATTAATCAGGGAAATGCAAATAAAAACCACGATGAGATACCTCACTCCTCTCAGAATGTCTATCATAAATTAATCAATGAACAACAAATGTTGGCAAGAATGTGGAGTAAAATCTCTTTTGTGCACTGTTGGTGGGATTGCAAATTGGTGCAGTCACTGTGGAAAACAGTATGGAGGTTCCTCAAAAAATTAAAGATGGAACTACCTTATGACTCAGCAATTATACTCCTGGGTGTTTATCCAAAGAAATCCTAAACACTAATTCAAAAAGATATCTGCACCCCTTTGTTCACTGCAGCGTTATTTTCAATAGCCAGGATATGGAAGCAATCTAAGTGCCCAGCAATAGATGATTAGATAAAGAAATTGTGGTACATATATACAATGGAATATTATTCTGCCATAAAAAAGAATGATCTTAACATTTGCGACAACATGGATGGACCTAGAGGGTATTATACTAAGTGAAATAAGTCAGACTGATAAAGACAAGTAACCATATCATCTCACTTACATGTAGACTCTAAAGTACAAAATAAACTCACAAATATAGAAAACATTTTGATGGTTGGGAGATGGGAGTGGGGTTGGGGGATGGGTGAAGGAGGGGAAGGGATTAAGAGGTAAAAATTGGTAGTTACAAAATAGTCACGGGGAATGTAAAGTACAGTATGGGAAAGATAGTCAATAATATTGTAAAAGCTATATATAGTGTCAGATAGGTACTGGACTTATCAGGGGATCACTTCATAAATTATATAAATGTCTAACCACTACACTATACACCTGAAACTAATATAAAATAATATTGAAAGTCAACTATAATTTTAAAAAATAGTCATGGGGTTACATAGTACAACATAGGGAATATGGTCAATAATATTGTAATAACTATGTACAGTGTCAGATGGGTAATAGACTTATTGGGGTTATCACTTTGTGAGATTTATAAATATCTAATCACTATGTTTTTTTGCACACCTGAAACTAATAAAAAGAGCGAAAGTATTGGGTTGTTGGAAAAGTCATGTTTTTCCATTGCAAAAATGCATTGTGACGTTTCCGACAACCCAGTGTTTTATTGCTGTGTTTAAAAAAAAACAAATGAATTTAGTTTTTAAACAGTAAAGTATACGTTAAAAAAGCGATAATTTAACAGACTACCTGTATGACATTACATAATCTGAATTATTTATTGATCTAATTATATAATTATATTAAAATAAGAAATTAATATTCTTAGACTCTTTTCCAGATAAGTTCCCTAATTTTTTAATTGGTGAAATCTTTAGACATTAATAAAGAAAAGAAAATGAGGTTATAGTTGTAATAAATATAGTAAGACTTTTAGAGAAAGCTTCTCTCATGGTATAGATTTTAGATCTTACAGTAACATTATTCTATAACGGCTACATTGATTCTTTTGTTAAGTCATTTCAAGTATTGTGAGAAAGTTAAGGAAATTTAGAATAATAGACAAAATCATCATGGTTGGTGGGTGTAGAAATGAAAGGACGTGGATATTCCTCCCTAACCACTGTTACCACCATTACTAAAAGTAAAACAAGCATACTCACTTCAAAGAAAAAGATTTCAAAATGGAATTTTTAATATACTAAAAAGCAGATTTCTTATATGTGTATTTTTGTCTTTAAGCCTGTTTCATAAGTTTTTAAAATCTAAGAAAAACATAATTGTCATACTTTTATTTTTTAAACATAGGCATTAAGTTCGGAATTAGCCCGAGCCAGAGATGAAAGCAAGAAAACACAAAATGATGTTCTTCATGCTGAGAATGTTAAAGCAGGCCGTGATAAATACAAGACTCTGCGACAGATTCGACAGGGCAATACAAAGCAACGTATTGATGAGTTTGAAGCAATGTGAGAACGGTTATTTTGCATACATGTTCTTCATAAGCTGAACCACCAACAGAGAAAAGCAGGCCTTTGCAGATGTGATGGAATGCATCCCACCTTGCCAAAGCACTTATACCAGTTTGACTGTGGTGGCTAAAAGACATATTTAAGGGGAGCTCTTCAACATTAAGGCAGTGTGATACCATGCTCGTTTTCTTTTGGGCCAGGGAATGGAGAACAGCGTTCCATCATCTCCTTTCACATTTTGGTTTTCCATTTTTTTTTCTGTTGAAGATCAATACTAATTATCATGTCTGACAAATGTGTATGTGTGATTTAAGCACTTTGTACATTTTAAAGGATGATGGTGACTTAATGAGTGTTCAGGTTGTTTTCCCTTGCCCCTTCCATATTTTACCTGCATGTATTTCCACATTCTCTCTCATTATATTTTCTCAGTGTACCCTTCCCATATCTTGCCGTGCCCATAGCCATAATTCGGCCACCAAATAGATCATTGGCAGCGTTTAAAACGAGGGCAGGTCACAGATGGACAGTCTTTGATCATTACGTGAAAGAAGATAGCTATGAATCATGAAAAAGATCAGAATGTTTACCAGTATAGTGTGCAGTTGGTGGTTAATATTTTTAAATCCCAATTTTATTACATTATTTGATATTTGATATTTGCTTACTTAATTACAGTCACCTTTGACAGTTGAATTGATTGGTGTTTCATCTTCTGTTTTCCTTACCTACCGATTCACACATATAGGTGTACAGAGCAGGTAGTAGCTCCCTAGGAGCCTTTGTTGATGAAACACTACCTGCAAATAACAGTTGTCTCTGAAAGATTTAAAAGGTTTTGCTCTTTCACAGATTAATTTAGACAAACAGACATTTAATAAAATACACATTTGTTGGTAATTGATTATAATCATTAAACAAAACCCTGGACCTTCCTGGAAGGGCAGCATATGAAAACATCAGTCCCATGAGGGGACAGTAATACTACCTCACTACTACACTTGCGATGACTGGTTGATCCAACACAATGGAGTGTGTAAGCTGTATGTTTTATAATACATAGTGATGCTTTTAGTCATGAAGAGATATTTTTGAAATTTCTTTTTCCTTCAGAATATCTTAGAGTGCTAAATTTTTAACTGCCTTTTTGTTGAGCTGAATTATATTAAAATTGTAAGCTCTCACTGGTATACTATCTTCCTGGAGGGGTGTTGTGTGTCTAAGGAAGGGGTGTGTATGTGTAGTGTTTGTGTGTAGAGTGTGTGTGTGTATGTGTAAGTAAAAGAGAGAGATGTTGCCGTTATATTGTAGTATATGAAGAGTGTCTATACCTTCATTTCTTAATTGTCACATAATCATTTTAACATATCTGGTTCCTAAATCATTGTGCTTTTTTTTTTTCAGTCTCTAAGAATACTTAAATTTGGTTTGTTAATCCTATTTTAGAAATTATGGTTTTTAGATTATATTAAGTTCAATTATGTTTTATGAAGAAATCTTTCCAGTTTGAAAGATGTTCTAATATTCACATGTTCTAACATTTTCTTTATTGTAAAACATCTGGATTTGGAGATAAGGAAAGCCTTGTTTTCTCTGTGTGGTTCAGCTACTTTCCATTTGGTATTATGCATTCAAATTTACATTTATCTATTAAAATTGCCATTTTGTTAGGACATTTTTCATGCACAGTAGATTCAAGTTGTGTCTGAAAATATCTTGTGCTTTTTTGATTTTGCTGACTTCAAAAGGATTAATCTGGGCAGACATAATGAAAAGGAAAGGTTGCATTTAATATATTTTTTGGACTTTGTAGGACAAAAGATAACTGGTTAACCTTGAAGTAACTGTTGTGCAGTGGTTGTGCATATCCTTCAAATCACGTGGAAGAGAATGTTTCTATTTGCAGCACATTAGAGGAATAGATGGTGAACCCTACTATTTATGCTTTAAAGCATGTGTTCACTTTTCTAAAATATTGAAAATTGCCACAACAGGTGAAAATATTGACTACCATTGGATTTTTAATTTTTTTCATTTTGAATTGTGTGCACTACCATTGCTACATCAGTTGATATCAGTGTTGAAAAATTACCAGTTATATTTGCTGTTTATAATCTATTTGTAGATTAGGATTAAAGTGGATTTAATCCATTTTTAAAGCTGTGTGAATTTTTCTAAGCAGGAACAATTTGCAATATGGGTTTTCATAGTGATTAAACCAATTATAACTTTTATTATTAGCAGTTGAGACCACATGTTCATATAGCAATGTAAAAATATATTAATGCGTATTTGGTAAAGTCCAGCAGGCTTTTACCACTAGCATAATTTTGTGTTGTACAATTAAGTTACAGTTACATCTATAATTTTGGATAACATTCATTCATTGGTTAACAATAAAGTGACAAAAGCTCATGCCTTTAAGGTCCACTGTTGTTATTTAACATGGATTTTTGGGTATATTTCCAGAAAATTACAATCTTTACTAGATCCATGAATCATCACATCTTAAAAGTGATAAGTAGGAAAAATTTCAAAATCCTCATATGTTTACTCTTTCCCCCAAATTATACCTCTTTTGAATGGAAGTAATAGTGATTGTTAGTTCTGTGGAAAAATTTAATCATTAAATTGCATCAACTCTCTTGATAACAGAAATCATTTAGAATTTTCAGTCATTGCCTTTATTGTGTATTGTTTAATTTCTTTTTCCTAAGGAAGCTACAGTTTCATTGTCATTGATTAATCTCACTATTAAAATGCTAATGTTCTTTAAAGAACTGTATACTAAATGCATTTATTTAAATATATATTCTTATTTTAAAGCAATATTACGGAGCACTTAACCATAAATCTAGAAGTTAATTGTCTTTTTAAAAGCTTCTTACTAATTTTTAATATTAAGATTATTCTTCTTAAACAAGTGATAAATCTAAGAATAGGAAAAACCAGGTGCCTTCTCAGTTTATAGCAGTATTTAACTCATTTTATCATATCCGTTATCAAAGACCGGTAGTGATTTCTTTATCCTGATCGTATCAGAAAAGAAAAGGGAATTTCAGAAGATTTCTCTTTGTATTTATTCAGAGTTTTTCTTGAAGAATTAGAATTACCTCTTACAAAGTTCTCTTAGACTGTATTGGAACTCTCGCTCCTGATTATCATTAGTAGAAAGAGTCTCAGTGTTAATATTCTGATTAAAAATAAATGCCTACCACTTACTGTCTCAGTTTTGATTACCTTGTTGATTGGTGATATTTTTAGAAGTGGAGATAAGATAATTTTAGATCCCAAAGCATCCCCATTCTATGTATGCATGATAAAACAATTAGTCTTTTTAAATCTAAAGCTTAAAACTGAAGTTTAAGGAATTAAATGTACTGAATTGATTAGTAAACCAAAGCTTAGATATCCTTAATAAGAATAAGGAAAAAAATGTAAATATAGAGTTACACTGGTAGACAAGGTTCTCTCTTGAATTTGTTCTAAGTGAACAGAACTGTAGTATTTTCTTATTCTGTACGTTTTGTTAACTAGAAGATTTATGTATCAAATATTCTGATGTGATTTATCATGTAAAATGACAGTATTCTAGTACATTTCAAAAGCTCAGTGAATTCTGCAGATGTTTTGATAGCTTCATAAAATGTCAAGGCAATCTGAGTCCTCACAGTTCTACACTGGTAGCCAGGAAAACCTGGCTCACAATAGTGTCATATATCAAAGCTTATCTGTCACCTTCCAATCCTTGACTTTTCCATTTAAATCTTAACCCCCATTTTTTTCTAGTGGACCTACTTTTTAATATGCCCATCTTTCAAGATTTTTAAGAGCTGTCATTTTCTCTCCAGAAAGATCATAACTCTTGTCTTTGTTGCCTGTAGGTTTTGACCTCCTTTAAACTGTGATACAAGCGTTTTTTTTTTTATTTCAGGTTACATACACTGCTTTAGGAGTTGAAGTAGCCATGTTTTCCACAGAATTTTAAGGTGATTGATAGATCATGACTGAGATAATTACCCTATGGCACATCTTTTAAACTCAGGTTTATGTTTGGCTCTGGACTTCCCTAGCTACTAAATGGTTCCAGGTTCTTATTTAATGATCTTCAGATAGCCAATACATTTTTATTAAGTACCAGATATATTCTCGGATATATAGAAGCAAGATTAGAATGACTGACCCTTTGTTAGGGCCTATCTTAAAATGTGGAACTTCAAATCTTAATTTATCTTAGCTCTTAGATCATTTGCATTAATCTGTTAACAATACCAGATTTCTTTTAAAATGGCAATACCATTTTGTTGATTCATGTTATTTGTATGCCCAGATTCCTCCATGCTTGTATCTAGTCAGTTGCTTTCATCCATGTAATTTATTTTTATTAGTCTGTTGTTCACATTTATTTAATGATCATTTAAAAAGTTAAATATACTTTGATATTTATGCATGTCATTTAGTTTGCTCCTAAAAATAGTTGTACCGGTTTTAGTTTATCTTGACTAAGTCTATATAGCCAAATGTCCATCTTCCTAGTAGGTAATATGGGAACAGAATTTCTGAGATTTATGTGACAATCCTTGGAAGAGTTCCTTTTGATAAAACATGGATTTATTATATGAAATTCTTGCACTGTCATATGCTGTAATACCCCTTTTAGTTTTTTACACGTTACATTAAGATGCTTTCTCATCTGTTTTAGACCTAGAGATGCACGTGTGTCTTAACTCATAAGGCGACACCTCCTCCTTCCCTTTCCTGTGGTTTATACTGAAAAGTCTGTAATTCAAGTCTAGCATTTGAATCCTATATGCCATCATTCCGTTCATATAATTATTTACTTTAAAATTTTAGCTATTTTGGATAAAAAATACGGTTGTGTGATGAGGGAAACTACTGCAACGTAAAGAAGATCAAGAGCAAAGTTAGTGATGGAGAGACTAAGAATACACAGTATAGATTCTCAAGTATGCTTTGTTCTTTGATAAATTACTTAA